ATACTTAGGATGCTAGTACCTTTGCTTAGTATAACCAACCCCCGTACCTTTGATCTCTTATTTGAATAGTCTTTAGCCTTGACTTTAGCTATGAATATTTTACTTAAGGTTTATTCGTTCTTTTCCCCTTTCCTTGGATAAATTAAAGTTCGGTGGTGACATCTTTTATTTTGCGAGTCAAGTTAATGTAATAGTTTGATCTCCAATTCTCACCGCATACACTCTCCAATAAAAGATAAGATTTTTTATTAATTCAAATTCAAATTTAAATCTCCATTTAAATTGATTTGATTTTCAACAGTTTTCAAATAAATCACACAAACACATTTCACAAATACAACAACAAATCTGATCGAGTTTAAACCAGATTTCGCTTAAAAAACACAACACCTTGGCCTGCCGAACCAGGGCCAGATGTTGCACTATACACATGTTGGAACATCGTGTTCCACATGTTGTACTAGTACATCCAAATTACCTCTTCTCCATATATTGGATGATGAATCTTGGAAAGAGAAATACTAAACCACATCTGCAATAGTTATCAATTGTTGCAGCATACAATAACATATGTCTTGTTGATGGAGATCAGATGTTGTAACACACATGTTGGAACATCGTGTTCCACATGTTACACCAGAGCATCCAAAATGAATCTTCTGTATATAAGTCTTCTTTGTAGATTATTTCTTGAATCAAATCTTTCTTCAAGGTACATCTAATTAAATCTAGTTTGACATAATCAAATCCAACTTAATTTTGGATTAACAAAACATACTTCTTCACCAAAAGCAAAACTTCGCATCTTGAAGAAGTCAGCCTCTCACCACTTTTGAAGGACATCTGAAGATAGTCAGAACTCAAACCTTAAGCATATTGCTTAACTAGTTCTGTCAGACACTTTAGCTGAACATCTCTTACAACCAGTCTTGTCAAGCACTTCAGCCAAACAACTCTTACTTAACTAGTTTTATCAAACATTTTAGCCAATAACTCTTCTTGCCAACAAGCTCAGATGCTGGAACACATGTTGGAACATCTTCACGTTGCCTAAAATACATCTTGTTTGTATGTTGTTTTACGTAATGTAACCAATTTAAAAGGAACAACAAGTTTAAAGAGTAGACACAAACTCACATTTCTCACAAATTGTTTCTCTCTGTGACTTAGATACTTTAGTTCTAAAGAGAATTAGTGAGAAATTGCGACCTTAACTCATATATTGAGCCTATCTTATATACTCAAAGATTTTCATTTTTGAAAACTCTATGTTTTTCTCTTCAAAAACTGAGTCAGAGCATGGTTAGAGTTTTTGTTTTGCTTTCTTTTATCACGCTTGAGACAAGAGAAAGAGAAGGATCTACCCTTCTTTTTATTGTTTTATTATTCCACTAATAGCACTACCACGTGTCGAGTGTGGATTCGAAGCTTTTGAAATCTGAAACTTGTTTTTTCTCCAACTAGGCACTGCTCCTTTCCCTTGTTTACAACAATTTTTTTTCTTCTATTTAGTATTGTCTTTTTTTTTAAACTTTACTTTAATTAAGTATTGTTTGGATTATGGGCCTTTGGCCCATTTTATTTTCACACCACCATGGTTATTAGTGCATCTTTTTGGTTTGTCACTTTGATTGATTTTTAATTAGTAGTTACCTTGTTGTTTAAATTTTTTTGATAAAGTTGATTATTAATTATTTGTTTATCTTGAGATTTATTTGATTAAGGTCATTTTTATGTGCTTATGTTGATTTAATTAAGTAATATTTATATCTGTTTTTATACTCTCACATATGTAAATAATGATGCTCACTAACTTCACCTCCGCTTCTAATTGATTTCAACACAATCTCAAACTATTTTTCATTAATCATTTTCACCACTTTTTATTTTTTTCAAATCATTTTCTTAATAAAATTGAAAGAAAAAGACTACCTGGTGAAAGGTTCAGATGTAGTCCCGAATGGTAGGTTCAAGTTGTAAGAGCTTGCAGGTCATAAGTGTTATATTCCTTTCAAAACACTTGTAAATATTCAAACCATTTTCATAATAAAATTGATAGGAAAAGATTACCTGAGTGAAAGGTCCAGATGTAGTCCTGAGTATTAGACCTAAGTTGTAAGAGCTTGCAGGTCACAAATAATTGTCTTTCAAACCCTAAAATACATCAAACTCATTCAAACCTTTTTGTCTTTTGGCATAACCAAAAATCTTTTCAAAAACGAAAGACATTTTGTCTTAAAATGATGTAGAGCAATACTTCATACACAACTGTTGAGTTGAGATAAGTGGCGTGAATGTTGATTCGTAAATCCATTCAATATGATGCAAATGTCCACTCTTCACCTGTTTTATGTAAAACAATGTTCTACGTCGATTAATACAAGATAACTTTCGCTAAAATCGATCAATAAATAAGCTTTTTTTATGCAAAACTATGTGTGTCTTGATTTCCCTTTTGAGAAACGTAGGAGCAGGATTACGAAATCTTGTCAGGAGCCCTAATAATAAAAACCTTTTTAGGTCCCCTTTCTTCTTTGTCCTAATAAAAAATAAACCTTTTGTCCTATTAATAACTTGAGAAGCCTAACTTTTAAGCTAACACTAACATGCACAACTAACCTAATGGATTCCGTTGAGTACAACAGACGTGAGTGGTGCTAATACCTTCCCCTTGCGTAACCGACTCCCGAACTCTGATATTGGTTGCGATAATCATATCCTTGTCTTTCCTTTTTGGGTTTTATTCAATATTTTCCCTTTCTCTCTATGGAAATAAATAAAGATCGGTGGCGACTCTATTAAGTTCATCCTGCGAGTGTGTGATTGCACTTCGCGAGGTTATGCACTCATTTTATGAGGTACGACAACAATCAATTCACAACACATCACTGAACCCCAAAAATCTAGTAATGGAAGATTCTGAAGAAAGGGATTAGGGAACTAATTTGAACACATTCTTTTTTTGGTGGTTTAGGTGGGATAGAAGCGAATTGAGAATGAGAAATGAAGGATACAACCAAACTATTTGGATTGTCAAGGTCCACAAGATGGGTCGAACAGTTGTGCACAATATGGGCCACATTACTAGGAATATCCAGCCCATTAAATATCCAACGAGATCCGCCACATCAGATCTAGTTAGGTCCCAACTAGTAAACAAAGTGTCTTTCATAATATAAGATTTCATTCCAATAGGTTTCCTAGGAAACACCACATTCTCTGGGTTTGATAACATATGATTATTATCACCCACTTTCTACCGCACCTTTTTAAGACACCTTTGACTTTGCGTTACATGTACCCTTCTGATTGAACCCATTTTCCATCTCGAGCCTTTATATTTCCCAAGTCCAAAGCAACATCTATAATCCCCTTTTCTGGACGTGCCTCTTCAATAACAATTAACTAATTGTGTATTGTCTTGGAAACTCCCACTAAAATATTGTTTTTGTTTGATGTACTCAAGCATGTCGGTTTCATCACCTTCTTTACTCGCGAGTGACAGAGCATCTACTAACCCATTAGCAGACGAAGTTTCAGATAAAGAATCTGATGACGAGGCTAGCCCTTCTTGGTTCCATAGCAAGCAAACTCTTTAAGGGCCTTGATAATCTTCAACAACTTTGATTCGAAACACTTCATTATAATCCGAACATTGAATGTTTCATTCAAAAACAAAATGTATTTGGTCCTGACCATAAAACGGACAACATCCATGTTATTTTGATTGTCACTTCCTAATTTCCTTAAACCATTGATAAAGCTAGACACAATCTTCCTCCAATAAAGTTTCTAGTTCTCCTTCTTCTCTATCCTCTAGTAAGCATAAACTTACTCCTAAAGGAGTTACTCGAACGGAAAAGTAACCTTTTGTATTAAAGATCTCTTAAATACTATATGACAGGCCAGCATTTTCAACTATCCCAATATATGTTTTATTGAATCTCTCCAACTCGGCATCATCAATGTTAAACTTCAAATGAGCAAAAATCAATTTGTTGTTCTCACCTTGTGGCCCGTTCCTTAGGTTGTTCTTGACAACATTTGAATAAGAACGACTGTCTCCATATCTCCTGGATGTGAACTCCCCTTTGTAAATCGGTCGAGTATAACTGGTTTTAACCTAAACATTACGAAATCCTTCCCTTCTAAATGCTCTCATCCTACGATCACCTCTTTCATGCTTTTTCTGGAAGCGTGGTATGTTGACAAACAACTTCATACACATAAATATATTGTCCAACTTTGTAGCTAACACCCTTTCTCTTGGTCTTGTATTTAGTAGTATATTTAAAATTGGTATCTTTTTCTAAAACTTATTATCAAAGCTTTACTTCATCACAATTAAACTATTGCATTTACAGTGAGCCAATCTTGATCGCGTGACAAACTATAATTAATTTAAATTCTTCAAATTATTCTAATTAGAATTTCAGGATAGAAGACATCTCCTACTGGTTATTATACCCTTGTCCTACCCAAATAATACGTTTTGAAATGTTTGAAGAATAGTTCTTAAAGTGCTTCCATTCTGAGTTATTTGAAATGTTAATACCTTTGTTTCAAGAGAGATGTTTGAAGTAACTTTTGACACAGGTAAAATTAACTACTGACAGTTTTAAATTTAGATTATTCATAGCCTATATAACCTGTGATGTGTAAATAAAAATAAGAAAAATGTTGAGACATTCTTATGAAAACAGATATATTTTCTCATACTATTAAAATGAAAGTCCCTTCCACATTAATAAGCTATATGGTACATCCCATAGCCATATGATTTAAGAATGAGTGGATAGCACAAATACATACAATATCACTAAAACACAACATCAAAAAATTGATGTAAACTTGAGAATATGCCCACATCTTGTGTTTCTCCTATACTGTATTATTCCGTAACACTTTCAAATATTGTCTTTATTCCACTTTAATCAATCATATAGTATTTTGATACCATCATGACACTCCCCTTTATATCATCATACATGTGTGTACCACTAACTATCTAAAAGCATATTATTTGAATCCATAAAAAATGAAGAACGAATAGAATGTCTCAAGGGTTGGTATGGAAGTTTTTCTGCCACTAAGATGTAGAAAAGTCCCATAACTCCGGTGTGCTCCTTGGTGCTGTTGTAGTTTGACTCTAGAGTTAATGTTTCGCCATCGATTATCTTCACAGAACCTGGTTTTGGATAACAAGTCGACATTCCAACAATATATCCCGATTCATTTCCGGCTTCGGTTCCATTTCCATAACTTGGTATTGAAGAACATATAACCCTTCCATCCTGAAAATAAAATCCATAAATTTCAGAAAACAAAGTACAATATAAATAAAAGGGAACTAATGACAATTCTCCAATTACCTGTCCATATAGGGTGGATCCAATCCCACCTGAATGCTGATGAGCACCACCATAAATCACATAGCCACCAGTTTGTAGTGGAAGACTTGTCTTCTTCACATGAACACAGCCATTTCCCTCCTTACGATCTGTGCTGCAAGAATCAACTCGATACTCAATCTGAAACAAAGATTCATGTTGCTCACTATATTATCCAAGAAAGTAATGGACTAATATTATATAGATTGAGACAAACAAACTACACATATGAATTCCCTGCAGTAGAGAGAATTAACAACTTTGCACTAATATTCAACATATAAATGACCATTGGATCAAGATCAGACAGTCCTAAACTAAAATAACCAAAGTATTTATATTTTCTGAACTGTCTAATCTTGATCCAATTGATATCAATGCATTGACATCATGAATACAAAGTATCCTTCCAACTAAACATAATCCATTTCTACAAACTACATGGTTCTCGAGGAATTCAATTACCTTACAATTATGATCTGAGTTGATTCCTTCTGAATTATCGGATAGTTTCAAAGTATCAGTCACATCAAATATATATATCTTAACAGGCACTACAGAATCATCCCAATCAGCCCATTTTACTGTGTATCTTAAGTAGAGGTTTCTCTTTGGTCCCTCAAATCCTTCTTTCAACCTGCACTGTGCATAATCCGAACAACATAACAAACCTCCTACATAATCAGGCCTTATAGTCCTTCCATATTCATCCACTGTAACATTATAAAGCTCACACTTACACTCCGTGCACCCTATTTTATCCTCAGCACCACGCGTATCAATGGCATGAATATTAAGCATCCATTTCTCCTCAAACCCTTCCGGGACCTCTTCTGGATTACCTATCTCTATACCAAAAGAATCCGGAACACGGGTTTCCGTTCCGCGTGTTTCGGATCCAAGGCCAAAGTACTGTCCAAGAACATTTCCCTGGCATATGCCGCTGTTCCTAACAAAAACATGATTAGAGTTATGAAGCATCCTATGGCTATCATTTTCTGTATGTGTGACATGTTTACTTTGATGATATCTTGCAACTACCCAATGATGGAGATAAGTCTCATGAAGAGGTATAGAATTACCAGCTTCATCAACCACTTCGGCATTGAAACTCTTGAGTGCTATATGACCTTTTGGAAAATCAATACCATAATAATATCTATTGATAACTGATCCAGGACCTAGCTCAAATTTGGGAGACAAAAAAACAGCTGATTTTATCTTATTTTCAGTCTTCACAAAAGAACCTAAGCATGGTGTGGCAAACAATAGCAGAAGTACTGACACTGAAAATACAAAATCTCTAGATACAAACCACATGATGTTGATATATCTGTCAGCAAAACTTGTATTAGTAATTAAAAAACTAAATTAAACAGAAGATTATCGACATAAGAAGGATGAGATTAGAAATGAGTATAATAATGAAAAGGTAAATAACTCTAGAGGCAGAAGGTAGAAGAGAGTTTGAAAATTGCATAACAATATTAAATAAAAGATAAATAAATTAAGCATGAAAAGAAACATATAGTACTAGTTGAAGAACATGTAGTTGAAGAACATGTACCTGGAAAACGAGAGAGATGAAGTTTGTTTGACGAGTGTTTGCGTCTCGATATCTAAGTCGTTTCGCTTGTTTATAGAAAACACATCGTCACACATAGGAATTTTCATTTCACAATCAGAGGAAAGTAAAATCCAAATCAATTTTTCTCGATATCTATATTTGAATTGGATATGCGTTGGGATGTGAGACACGTGGCACGCGATTGGAAATACAATAGTAGTTCTTCACGGCACCAGTCAAATGAATGGGAAAACAACAATTTTAATGTCGGGAACCATCACTATCCTTGAATGCGCCACATGCTCTTAAAAAATACATGCATGCGCCACATGTAGTGTTTTTATTTATATATATATATATATATATATATATATATATATATATATATATATATATATATATATATATATATATATATATATATATATATATATATATATATATATATATATATATATATATATATATATATATATATATATATATCATTCTTTCTCTATAGTTTACCATCAATCTTCATCCTTTTTATATATATTATTTTATAAATACAAAAGAAATGTCAATTTGATTTATTCAATAGTAAAGTCTTTGATGAAGATCTGACTCTAGAACATAGAGACTTTCAAGCATTTTTAGAGGAGTTTAATTCATTGCTGACAGTGAAAAATTCAGAAGAATTCTGTAATACCTCAAATTTTGCCCTAAAATTTGTCGTTTCATCTCGCATTTTATTGCATTTTTTGCATTACACTTAACCAGTCACTAACAGGTTTGTGTAGTTGGTGGATCTTGCAGGAAAAATCCCATTGTACGTAATTCAAGCGGTAAAGGGTAAAATGGTCATTTAATTGCAATCGGCTGTAAATTTGTGAATCTGAGTTGTAGTCAGGGAACCTAAACCGTTTGAATGTATTGTTGTGATTTGAGTTGGAAGAGTTTAATCGTGGAAGATTCGTGTTGGTTGAATTAAATCAATTCAATTTATTTGAATGAGGTTAGTCAAAAAAATATGTTCATTTGAGTTTAATCGACAGGTCGGATTTATCCTGATAAGGTTACTCGTTTAAGTTGCCAGAAAGATTAGTCTGAAATTGTATTGGGAAGCGAGAACTAATCGGAGGAAGTTTCTTTCATTTTAATAAAAATTATTATGTTTCATTTCATTTTAGTAAAAAAAATCTATTATGTCTCATGTCATTTTAATATCAAAAATATTATTATGATTCATTTCATTTTAATAACAAAAAGATATTTTATTTTATTTCATTATATAAAAAAAGATTATTATGTTTAATTCATTTTTATGTTTTATTTTATTTTAATTATTAAAAATTATTTGTGTTTTATTTTATCTCATTAAAAAATTTAGAAGGTTTATTTTATCTTAATATAAAAAAAAGTTTATTAGGTTTTATTGTCTTTTAATATCAAAAAAATATTAGTTTTATTTTTATTTTTTACATCGAAAATATTAATATTTTTTACTTTTTTTTTACAATATTTAAAAGAAATGAAGAATTTTATTAAGAAAAATAATTTCTTTACAATGTGAAATAATAAATAAATAAATGTACATTTTTGAATTACATTTTTTCTTAAAAAATCTTTAATTGTCCTAAAAATGCTTCAACTTCCCGATTTCGAACTTTCGATTCTTCGAACTTGCAAAATAATCGAACAAACATTTTATTGGTTAGATTTTTGCCCCGATACTCTTAGAGCCAATGTCATCATCGGTACGTCGGGAGGGTAACTGATTCCTCCGTCGCCAAATTCCGACTCAATTTCGACTTCGGCTAAAACTGGCATATTCTATTCTTATTTTCAATGACATCCAAGAGAGAGAATAAAAGAGTTTAAAAAAGAGTGATTCCTGTTAGAAAAAGTGATTTTGGAAAAGCACTTTTTAAAAAAAAAACTTTTTTCGGAAAAATGAGTTTTAGCTAAACAGGGCGCTAACGCCAATTCTCCCAGAAAATTCCAAGGCCACGGATCAAACAGGTCAACATTTGCAACAACAATATCGCAAACCCAACAAGCCAAAGTTAAACCATCAAAAAGCAAAACTTCAGCCAAAACAAACACGCGTGTAAGCTAGCCATTTTGCGGACTCGCAAACTCAGTCAAACGAACCCGTAAGCTTCCGTAAAATCCTGCAAATCAAACATAAAAGTCACAATAACAACCGCGAATCCGCCGGGAAAATCGCAACAGTAATACTAAAACCCACACCAAAAATCGTGATGGATTCGGCCCACGAAGGAGGATATAAGAGAGTTTCGTTCATCAGAAAGAGGGGGGAGAGAAATTTGAGTTCAGAGAAATAGAATATCCTCATTACTCAGATCACCAAGAACAAGTCGTCCTCAAGATTGACGGACGAAAATCGCCGCGAGAACTCTAAGGTCGTCAGTAAATCATCAAAATCAGACGAGAATCAACGGCCTCAGTTCACAACATCATTGGCCGGAAACGGACAAAGGCGTCAAAAAAACGGTGGCCAACGGGAGCGTTACCACTGGAGCTCATCTTCACCTCGGCAAAATCACCAGAAAAGCTCCAAACCCTAAAAAAGGGTGAGTATTTCGAAACGCTAACCGTTTATTCTTCATTCGTTTTGTATTTCAGGTGGAAAGAAGGACGAGACGAAAAAATGCAAAAAGAAAAAAGTTTTGATGGACAACAATGGCAGATCCACCGCCATAATGAAGAAGAAGAGGGGTTTCTAAATCCTAAAGATGTTTAGAAGGCAAACTGACCCCTTTTATTTCACTGTCTTGTCACTTTTCTTCATTTTTATTTATTTTCATTTTCTTTCATTTTATTACTCATTATTGTTAAATATTATTAGTACTTTATAACTACTGTGATAATTAAATTGTAGATTGTTCTCAGAACCGTTTCCGTTATCAATCTTTTTGTTTAAGAATTTTGAAAACCTTTAAAGAAAAAAAAACAAAATGTTCCAAAGCATAAAAATTAAAGTTAGACCTTTAATTTTAAAAAAACCCTTTTTTATGAAAACGTTAGAAATTTGAGTTTTTTTTTATTATTTTTACCTCTTTACTTACAAACTTAAAATTTAAAACATTTTTAATAATTAAAATTTTAACCCTTTTTTACATTAAAACTCAACTTTTTCTTTATAATTTAAAATATAAATGTTTTATAACTTAAGTTAGCATCTTTTTCTTAAAACTAATTTTTAAATTAAATAAAATTTAAAATTAAAACTTTTTCTTTTCATAACTAAACACATTTAAAACATTTTCTAGAACTCAATAAAAACTTATTTTTCGAACTTAAAACTTATTTTTAAAGAAAACTTCAATTAAAAAAACCAATTTCAACGTTGTAGATACCAATTTCCAACACTTAAAAATAAGTCTAGCATCTTACTTTCAGTTTCGAGTTGAGTTATCACCTACATAGCAGATTTTCCTCGCCTCGTTAGTTCTGTCTAACGCTCATGTCATTCTTTTCATGTTTCTCGTTTGTACTTAGTTGCTAATCTCGTATTTTTCGTATTTCACTTTTGGTTTGTAATTCATGCGAGGACATCGTCGCTGTTATTATTCTTGCTCTTTTATTTTGGGTTTGTAATTTATGCGAGTAATCATCGCACAGCTGTTTCCTTTCCTGCTTTCCTTATTTCCCGCATTTCAATTCCTGCCATGTAATAATTCATTATCTGCATAATTTATCGTCAAGTCCTCCGAAGGATTAGGTCTAGCAGTTTGACCGCCGAGTCAATAGTCCTCTCCTGTGACCATTTCAAACCCTAATAGCCTAGGTGTCCCGCCGTGGACGAAAATACCCTCTACCCTACATTAGGTCTAAGAGTCACCGTACTCTACTTAGGGTTTCCCACCGTGTAATCCCTAATTTCAATTAACAAATTCAACGTAGAAATAGGAGTTTCCGAACTCCACGTAAGCGCTTCCTTAAGAAATGCTTACTCCCCATTGAAACCTTGACCACAGTCAAGACGTTTCTAACCTTCCTTTCGAGGGGAACTACGATTACTCTGATTTCATCCCCAACCAGGATACGTAGGCATAAGATACGAGTCTTGGCGAGTAAACTTAGGACTAACCCTTAGGTCTTTTAGGTCACTCTAACCCTTAGCTCAGTATATATCTTCAAGCAAATAATAAAGCAAAATAGTAAAAATAAACAAAAGGTTCATGTAGAGTACTACAGAAGTTTAGGGTGCTAATACCTTCCCTAAGCTTAACCAACCCCTTACCTAGGTCTCTCCCCACATTGTGTTTACGATGCAAAAATAGGTTTTCCTTCATTTGACCTTTTCCTTCAGATAAATCAAAGATCGGTTGTGAATTAAAAATGTGATTCAAGCTAATTAATAGCTTGATATCCAATTTCCACCGTAACAAATTCAAAGGCTTGTTACGGTGTACAATGACAATGGAGAAAATCGTTTTTGGGACTCAGTTAAAACTGACAGAGATTGTCATATTATGATGCATATCAGCGAGGAAATTATCTTGATGGTTGTAATCGCATAGATATGTTTAGTCGTTTTATTTGTTTTTAAAATTATTGTTTATTTGTTGTTTAAATTACTCTTTAACGGTTGTTTAAATTGTTGTAACCGAATGATGTAATATTTGTAAAATGAACCTTGTTTTCAATATCAAATAAAATGGTTACATTTAAAATTATCTTGTGGTGCTTGCTCAAACATTGGGACACTTTGTACGGTTGTGTCCGGGTTGACGATATAAACTAC